TTCAGTTGGATTAATATTGGATGCGTTGGTCAAGCAAAACCATTCTTGGCTCTGCTTTTGTGGATTCTTCTCCCAACTGTATTTTAATTTTCTTCTCCATAACAGTTAACACATATTATCAGTCAAAAAGTGATTACGGAAAGAACATTTATAACTTGTTTTAAAAAAAATAGAAGCAATGACATCATTTTCCATTCATGTTGGGTGATTTTTAATTTAAAATATTCCAATATATCGACGTTGCTCGAGAGAAAACACTTTTTCTGTTGCTTTAGTAGTGTAGTTAGAAATTCCTTAAACGTTTGGTATAATTGGAATTGTTGGAATGTACTTTGATCAACACTTGATCTTTTAAAATTATTTCTTTGAGAAATTTGACTATCAAAGTAGAGGACGGGGATTAAAGTAGTAGGTTAGTAGGTCCTGTATTTTTCTACTCCATACCAGTAATAGAATTTTAATATTGCTCCCGTATTTTCTTATTCTTATTTTTCTATTACTACCTGTTATTTTTTTGCTTCGGTTATCTTATTGTTCTTGCTATTGTTACTGCTTCTTTTGTCATGACTGCTGGCATTATACTTTTCTTGAGCCGATGGTCTATCGAAAATAACATCTCTGGATAAGGTATGCGTACACCTTCCCTGATCCTATTTATAATATTTCACAGGATATATTATTGTTGTTATTTAACTATCAAAGTAGAGTTATTGGTGCGAGGATGGTCTCACTGTCGTTTAGGATATAAATGGAATTTTACTAACGGACAACATGTCAAATTCTGGTCTGATCCCTGGATCAAGCCCAATTTAATAATTCGTAATTGCATAACAGGCCTCTCCCACGTCATGAGGAGCAAAAACTTGTCTCTAACTACTATTACCATCATAAGTGGCATTTTGAAAAATTACCATTCATTGTACCAAATCAATTACAATTCACTATCATAAACATATACTTGCCTTTCTCACCCATAACACATGATCAAATTTATTGGGCTCATACACAAAATGGTCTATTCTCGATAAAATCTGTTTACAACTCTCTCATGAACTTCACAATACTCCTACAAGTGGATTTGGAACCTTCACATTCCTCCAAAAATATCTTTCTTCCTCTGATTACTTTGCCACAACAGACTCCCAACGGCTGCGTATCTTACAAACTTAGGAATCCTAAATTCACCTATATGCCACTCAAAATATAATTCATCTCTCTCTAAAATGCCCTAATGCAACTCATCTATGGGTTGTCCTTCATCACTCTTTCCCCATTCCCAATTCCAATACATCCCAAAGAACTAACATACATTGGTTATACCACTTTATCCATACACCATTACCATCTACTCCTCATAAAATTCCATCTACAACACTTCTACCTTTTGCATTATGGCACCTTTGGATTATAAGGAATAAGAACAATTTCGATCATCAATGAATTCCGTTAAATATTCCCTTGCTACTGAATATGGCAACGGAATATTACTTTCTAACAACCCCAAAATTAACACATAAATGTGTAACACCTCTATACATAAAATGGCATCCTCCAACAGCTTATACTTATAAATTAAACATTGATGGGTCTTGCTCATCTACACAACAAAGGTATGGTATTGGAAGCATTTTTCGAAACGATCAAGGCAATTGGATTTTGGGCTTTGCAGGCAAATCCAACCCAGGTACAACAGAACTTCTTGCACTCCTCCTTGGATTAAAACTGGCTGACAGCACCTCAAACCTATCATCATTGAAATAGATGCACATGCAATATGAGGTATGTTTAACTCAACTACTATGCAATACACTAATATTATTAATGATTGTAGGTTACTATACTCCTACAGCTGGATAGCCCTCCTATAAAATACATCTACAGAGAGCAAAATTGTGTTGCAGATAGTTTAGCTAAATATGGATCCATGCATGCACAGGAGAGCTGCATACTTTTTGAGACACCACCATCTTTTGCCGAGTCTTCATATCACCAAGATTGTAGCGGCACATTACAAAGGAGGCTTGTTCCAACTAATTCCAGTACTTCAACACAACTGCTCTCTGCTACAACTAGTTTGTGTAATAGTAGTGTTAACTCTAGTATTAATAGTAGTGTTGTATCTACTCTTAACTTTCTGTCTACTAATACTTTTTGCAGCTTGGCCAAAGGGGCTATAAGTACATCCTTTTGACCAAAAAAAAAAAAAGGAACGTCTTCTTTTGTTCTTTGTTTGCTTAGAATCGCTCTAAAGATTGCAGTGCAACATTCAATTATTTAGTGGAGAGCCCATTCATTCCTTCAATACTTTTAACAAGTCGGAGAGTTTTGATGAAATTTTTGAGTACTAAATATTAATAACAATATCTAGATGTTAATTGGCGCAAGTAATATAAAATTAAAGTTAAAGATAGTTTCTTCATGAAAATTGACTCCCTTTCTATCCTTTAACTAATTAAATTACTCAGCCAAAGCTCTACGTATATAATTGCTTTGCAGAAGAAAGACAGCAGAAACAAATAAACTAAACTTCTTTTAAAGAATAATTGGAGGATCAAGTCAAGACAATGAAGCAAAGTAAGGTACAATTCAAGTGCTACTTTTTAATTAGAAATTATTATATTCTTCATTTTGTTGGGATTTAGGGAGGAAACAAGGGATTTTTCACTAACTTCTTTTAACCTAACCTGTCTTTTGTGTGTATGTGGTGGGGGAGAGATTATGCATGTTCTTGATTATATGGGATTACAAAACAAATCCCAATAAAGAAGTTTTCTAACCACTGAAATTGTTTATATACTTCCCTTTTTCTTTCAACAAAAATGGCCCCATATTTGGCATACTGCATGGCTTATTCTTCCAACTGGACGGTGTGTATGAAGTATATATGAGAGCTTCATCAAACAAGGGTAGCCCGGTGAATAAAGTATCTCGCGTTCATGCAGGTTGGGGACGGGTCGCACTCTAAGAGAGTATGATATAGGCAGCCTACCCTGATGCAAGTATTAGTGGTTGATTTGACGGCTCGACCCGTAATGACCTATAAGTCACGCGGAGACGATTTGGCCGTTGCTTTATGGCTGATCCCTTCGAATGAGAGCTTGATGAGATAATGTGATTTAATTCAGTTTTAATTCAGGCCCCATTAGCTTTTATTAGAAAACAGGAAATGGAGAAGGACTAAAACAAAAAAGGGAAAAGGAAAACATATCTTTTTCTTGTTGGTATATGTAACTTCTTTTAGGTCTTTAGTGAGCTTTCCCCCAACTTTGATGTGTGCTTTGCTTCTTCTTGAATTTCCAAGCTAAATAATTTCTGCTATACTTTCTCTTTTAATTAGCTTCTTGGAATGTTCTTCTTCCAAGGTAAATGCTCTCATTAACTTTTTCACTTTCGGCTCTAAAGACACAATAATTGAATTTATTAAACAATAATATTTGTCTCTTTACAAAATCGTCAGTCTTCTCAATTTCTTTCATTTTTACTATCGCACTTTCACTTCCCCACGTTCGCTGCCCTCCTCATGCAATTATCTTTGTCTATCCGGGGCTCAATTAAAGAGTTGCGGATCTAGTCTTAAAGTTGTGGGTTTAACTAAACTCAGTATATTTAATATTGATATTTAATATTGATGTAGATATATATGTGAAGAACAAAAAAAAATCAAAAAATTAATAAGTTTTGAAACCCATAAACTGAAAAGTATAGTTAGTTCAGTGCTAAAAACTTTAAATGTTAAATTAGGCATTTTCAAACCGAACCGGAAAACCGCACTAAACCGAAAAGTCAAACAAACCGATTAAAAAATCCAATTAGGTTTTTGACTTGGTTTGGTATTGATTAAAAAATTCAAACCAAACCGACATATAAATATACATATATTTTTTAAGACTTATATAGAATTTTCTTTTAAAAAATGTCTACAAATATTTTTGAGATACTCTCGTGGGATGTAATATGTAATAGAACTATGAAGTGCATTCATTTCTATTTACTTTAAATAATGGTTTTATCACTTTCTTATCAAGTATTATTAAAATGCGTCAATCATCTCGTTGTTCTTCCATATATTCATATGTCAAAATTTCTTATATCTTTTTCTAATTTGAAATGGTATTTCGATAATTCAAAATTAAATAGAACATATCATTATTTAGGTATCATATTGATTTTTATGTTTAATTATTAAATTCGATTAACCTTGAAAGAGTACATCAAAGAAAGGTTATTGTTAGATGACTAAAAAACTAACTATCATGTGTTACTAAAGAAAATTCACCCATAAGAATATTTTAATAGATCGTATGTTTGTTAATTTTTTTCAATTTTTACAAACATATATTCACTTATCAAAACTTTATCTATAACTTTAACAAAGTAAGATAGACATGATATTAATGTAACAAAAAACCCGACAAAATCGACCCAATCTGAACCGATATAGATGGTTTAGTTTGGTTCTGATAAAAACCGAATTAACCATGTCCATATACATGCCTATGTTAAACCAATCAATTTAAAATCCTGAATCCGACTAGAGATGTCGTGTCATCAGAGGAAGTACATGTAGTCATTTTCCTGATTTGATGATAAACTAAGTGGAGGAAAAAGAAAAGTGGTTAGTTGAATATTCTTGCAGGAAAACTTACTTACACCTGCTTTTAAATTCATAATATTTGTAAGTACCAAGCAATAAATAATTTTTTTCTACTCTTTCAGGTAAGCTTTTTCAGTCCATCCAAAACTGGACTCGGAGAAGGAATATCAAAATGCTTACTCCCTCATATGGAACCAAACAAAACATGGTGTTGAGAATCCTAAAACTTATATTTTCTCATGAATGTCAACAATTAGTTAATTACCTGCATAAAGTTATTGTTCAGAAGCCCAAAAAAATTATAAAGTGCATATATGACCCTGAGCAGTCACGAGATTTTTGACAGCTTCATTTATTAACTTGTACCATATTACTATTTTAGGCCAAGCCACCTGACAAGGAACAATAAACAAGCAAATGATGGAGGCCTTTCATTCCACTATTTGTGAGGCATTAAAAACAAGCAAGACTTACTTTATACAAATGAGAATTGGCAGATGAACTAATTGCCGACTTCAGATTCCATACTTCTTTACATTACCATAAAATCAAGGATATTTCACAAAAAGGTCTAAGGACACTGAGAGTGAAAGAAAGGGGAAGTGTGGGATAGGGAGCAGAAGCCAATTACAAAGGATTTAGTTTCTAATACTAGTAATTTCTATATGCCAATATGGGGATTTGCAGAAGTGATGATACAAGCTTCAGGATCAGCAAAACTGGATTTGCAAACTAAGCTGCACCTCCTGTCAAAGTAACTATAGTCGTTACTTGGTCTACCGAGTTGGATCAGGCCTGATCTTTTCACAATCTCAATGTGTAAAACAACTTGAAATCCATGCATGTTGGCCATGCAATGATCAGTTTTCTCTTAAGCTGCCTATGTTTTCAGGCTTTGGCAAGTGCATCAAAAGTTGTTTCTCCAACTCTACTAGACTGAAAAGCCATATAGATGAGAGGAAAAATTGCTTCATAAGAAACACATATCTTTGAACAATGACGGAAACAAATTCCAATAGCACAATTGGCTTACATCTCATATTTTTGCCGAGCTTCTGTTTGCTTTGCTTTGTAGAGTTCACTGTCCTTTGGCAGGGTGCTCAAATTGTTGTCTACAAAGTTGGACCAAAAAACCCCATCAGCAAAAGAATTGGCGAAGGCAAAAAGGGCTCGGGCGTTTTCAAAGAAGAAACCTTACTGAGTAACTAAAATATTCAACAGAAGAAAGACAATAAGTAAATTCATGCATAATTAGGTAGACCTGTCCACACAGTGGACAACAGAATGGACAAAATTTTCATTCATTCTATGATGTGAGATACATCTACTTCAAAGCTTATCTAATCTCCCATCCATGCTCAATGAAACACCCCATTCCTGCTGAACCCTATCTTAATGGCATAGGTCATTCCACAGTTAAGTCAGTTTCCATGTCTGAGCAGCTCTTTTTTTTTTTTTTAACTGAAAAAGCATGCCATCATCAAATGCTATCACCATCCCTCCTAGAAAATCCTGACAACCATCTCTCTTATGTCAAAACACCAGTACCAATTGACAAGGTCAAAGCAGTGTTGTACCCTCCAAATGCAATTTGAATCTACATTTACCCAAATAAAAATTAAAAAATAATTTAACAAAAAGGAATTGAGCCTCAAAAATTAACTGCAGCCAAAGCATCACAGGCAATATCCAACTTAAACCATTCTCCAGGTATCCAGAACAATATTGATGGCAGCAACTGCCAACGATCCAACTATCAACTAATCAAGCCATACCACCCCATGACTTACCATTTCCACCATGCGTTTCCTTTAACTAGAGATGAGAAAGAACTCTTCGGAAGACCTGAAACTAATTAACAGTTCTCATTCCCAATGCCAAACCGCCAACAGCCCCACTTCCAAGCGCTTCAAAAATGTTGTGGCACCCATGCTTTGGAGGATCCGACACAGGTGCAACATCTCTTTTTGGAGGATCCAAGCAACACAGCCCCACACTCCCAAGTACCTCATTGTCAACACCTTACCTTAATACCTAGAGCTTTTATTATACACACTCTAGAAAGAACATTCATAGCTTCCATGACTAGATCAAACCATGACCTAAAGCAAATAATCGATTTCTACATCTTCCAGCCGACAACAGGATGCAGTGGAGAAGTTCGATATTGCAAAAATCATTAAGTAGGAAACTGAAACTACAAGTCAACTTGGAGAGTGATAAAATAAATGTCCTGTAGGCAGATGGATGTGTGGAGTACATGCTACCGTGGGGAAGTAGAAGCTAGTGGCAAAAGTAATCAGGCATAGATTCACTATTTTGGCTACGCTGCTTTTGAAGTACTAATATTATTTTTGGGTTCATGTATCAGGTAGGATTTGCCTATTCCATAGGAATACCGCTATAGCTCTGGCTAAGATATGTTACGAACTCCTCAGTCCCGATTCATGAATTTGGGACATTTTAGTCTGCAGGGATGGGACGGAAACCACAGAATTAGATTCAATGGACCCTTACACAGAAATATTCATTGTGGGAAAAGGTCCAATACTGATTAATTATCCTGATAACTTAGGCCGTGCTTACTCTTGTTATATAATAAATCCTATGTAGCAATCGAATTCACCTGCTATTTGTGGAGGAGCAAATTTCTTCACTTTTTCACTTTCCTGAGCTTCTGACAAAGACATGTTGTTGGTGAATTCTGGTCCCTGTCAATAAAACAAATTCTGAATAACAGGTTTAATCCTGAATATAGATTGATGTTTAGAGAGTAAAATTGACAATTCGCGGACAAAAGCGTGACGAAATAATCGGACCTAAGGTATTACTGAATTCCTCTTATGATCAATGGATAAGGAAATTGAGATACTGGAAACTCGACACTAGTGCAATAAGGCATACTCAACTTCCAATAAACCAGAGATTATACCTTCTTCTTCTCCTTCCTCTTTAGAATTTTCATGTGGCATTTTTTAATGTAATGCATCAAATGGTAACGTGAATGCCTTGAATTTAATTGTTCTCTCACATCAGGATTTGCAGTAAGCCAGTCTATAATTTCCTTTGATTTAATCACCTCATCCGTGTCTAGAGACTCTAACCAGGAATAAACAGGCATCCACTGATCAGTTCGTTGAAATCGATGATCAAAATTTTCCTGCCATACAAGGATACTAAGAATAAATTGCTCGTCATATACCACAAACAATAAATCAGTAGATGTCTTTAAAAAAAATCAAGCATTGGGCACCGTGAAAGGAACATGTTTAAACATGTACAGATTAGATGAAAACTACATTAACACTTCCTTTACAAAATTTAACTTGCACTTGGCATTAATTCTTAAAATAGGGAATTTCTAGCGTAATCATTATGTCGGATTGGTAACAAACTATAGCAGACTCATTGCAGGCCAATTCCATAAATGGTCATCGATTTATGGCTCACACGGATCTTATTTGCATGAAACTTTTGATGTCATTGTATACAAAATAACTGTATATTATGCCTATCAAGTTTTGCTTGTAAAAAAATAAACTACAAAGACATGTATCTTCCCTGGATAGTGCAAAAAGAACAATCTGGAAAGCAAACAAACGGAAACCATGAGTATAATGTTCAAACAGTTATTGAAGTTTTTCTCTAAATAATCATCAGCCATGGAGTATTAGTGCTGCTGGTCGGATTCCTAGACCTAGCAGCGGCAGCAGGGATTTTGCACGGCGAGGATTTTCCGGCAGCCTTCGGGCCGCGCGCGGGAACTTCCAGAACATAATTGCTGTGGACACACCTCTCTCGGCACCTGTTGGGACTCCAGGTTCTATCGTTCTTGCTTAGAATTTGCTATTTGTTATTATTCTGTCGGCTGCCTTTTATCCTTGATTATTGTATTTCCTTCGGCTTGCTTGCATTTATCTGCCATTAGTTGTATCACTCCTGTTTCATTCTTGTCCTTTGCGTGCCCTAGTTACATTTCATTTCAGCTTATATTTAGGCTTTGCTTGTTTTACGTTTCGCCTGCTCGTCTGCATTTGTAGTAGTCTAGGCTTAGTCTATATCCCTGTGTTTTTGCTGGTGTAGTGGCTATTCTGAGCGATGGTAGTGTAAGGTCATGTCCTCGGGTGGGTCAGGGGGCGAGGAGTAAGGGTGGTAAAGGGGGTAAGGATTATATAAGGTTGAGAATTGGATCCTGGAACATAGGGACACTGACGGGTAAGTCGATAGAGTTGGGGAAGATTCTCCAGAAGAGGAAGATTAATATAGCATGTGTCCTTGTTTAACGTCATTTTCAAGACGAAGAAGATGCCCGAAGATTGGAGGAGGAGTTTGATGATTCCGTTGTACAAAAACAAAGGTGATATCTAGAACTGCAACAACTATAGGGGTATCAAGCTGCTGAGTCACACTACGAAGGTCTGGGAGAGGGTGGTGGAGAAGAGATTGAGGACAGGCGTATCTATATCTGAGAACCAGTTCGAATTTATGCCGGGACGATCAACCACAGAAGCCATTCACCTTGTGAGACGATTGGTGGAGCAGTATAGGGAAAAAGGGCTTGCACATGGTGTTCATTGACCTTGAGAAGGCTTATGACAAAGTCCCGAGGGAGGTGTTATGGAGGTGTTTGGAGGTTAGCGGAGTCCCGGTAGCGTACATTAGGGTGATTAAGGACATGTACGAAGGCGCTAAGACTCGGGTGAGGACTGCGGGAGGAGACTCGAAACATTTTCCAGTGGAGATGGGGTTGCATCAGGGATCAGCCCTTAGCCCGTTTTTTGTTTGCCCTAGAGTTGGATATCCTGGCACGTCAAATACAAGGAAGGGTGCCATGGTGCATGTTATTTGCTGATGACATAGTACTGATTGACGAGACGCGAGGGGGTGTTAACGCTAGGTTGGAAGTTTGGAGACAGACACTGGAATCCAAAGGTTTCAAGTTGAGTAGGTCGAAAACTGAATACTTGGAGTGCAAGTTCAGTGAGGAGAGGCATGAAGAAGAAGTAGAAGTAAAGATTGATACTCAAGTCATTCCCACAAGAGATAGTTTCAAATATCTTGGGTCTATAATCCAAGCAACGGGGAAATTGACGAGGATGTTACTCACCGAATTGGAGCGGGTTGGATGAGATGGAGGCTAGCTTCGGGGGTTTTATGTGATAAGAATGTACCGCCTAGACTTAAGGGCAAATTCTACAGGGTGGTGGTTAGACCAGCTATGTTGTATGGAGCTGAGTGTTGGCACGTCAAGAAGTCCCATGTCCAAAAGATGAGCGTAGCAGAAATGAGGATGTTGAGATGGATGTGTGGTCATACCAGGAAAGACAAGATCAGGAATGAAGTTACTAGGGACAAGGTGGGAGTGGCATCCGTGGAAGCCAAGTTAAGGGAATCGAGCCTGTGATAGTTTGGGCATGTGAAGAGGAGAGATATATATGCCCCGGTCAGGAGGTGTGAGAGGTTGACCATGGCGGGCTTGAGGAAGGGCAGGGGTAGACCTAAGAAGTATTGGAGAGAGGTGATTAGGCAGGACATGTCGGTGTTTCACCTAACCGAGGACATGACTAGTGATAGGAAGGTGTGGAGGTCGAGGATTAAGGTGATTGGTTGACAGGTAGGTGCGAGTTTTTCATAGGTTCACCGTTCACCAGTAGTACTAGTAATATTTTTGTTGGGGTTGAAAGTTACTTTTTTCTTGTTTGTTATTGTATCTGGTACTTTGCAACCACGTCCTTTGTTTTGTAAATTGCTAGTGGGATTGTTGCTCTCTAATTGTTACTATTTGATGCTACTTTTTCTCCTTTTTATCGGATATTGTTGCTCCCTGATGGTTACTATTTGATGCTGCTTATTCTCCTCTTTGCTTATCGCCTTTCTCCCCCCTCTTTCCTCCTCTTCTTCTCCCCTATTCTTCCTTTCCACCTTTTCTTGAGTCGAGGGTCTATCAGAAACAGCCTCTCTACCTCTCCAAGTAGGGGTAAGGTCTGCGTACTCACTACCCTCCCCAGACCCCACCTGTGGGATTATACTGGGTATGTTGTTGTTGTTGTTGTTGTTGGAGTATTTTCAGTCATTTACATTCACCAAACCACAAACAACCCATGCTAAACTCACGCATCTGAATGTCTGTAAACACAAACACATATAAAAGAGCTGGTTGGGTAGCTTTTCAACCTGGAAACTGATAAAGAGATTAAAGTGTAACATAAGAAGCAAAGGCTTATGAGCACCAGTACCATAAGCCTATACTTCAAATCATATTCTAATAGATCAGGTCATTTCATCAAATTTTCTTGAGTGGGACAGGCGTCCTAACCGATATGGTGTAAAATGTAAAGCAATCAACAAAGCAACAAATTAACAGAGAAGAGAGAGTTGACAGAAACTTGAGAAATAATTTGGCACCTTACAACTTCCCCTGAGAATGAAAGCATGGGAAGCCGTAGTACCAAAGTGTTAGATCATGAGAGTAACATTCCAAGATCATGAGAATTTTGTCTACCATTTAAGCATGCTAAAGATCTGTATTTTGCATAATATTGGCATGGATGAGTTTAAATGGTGTGACGTGGTTAGTGAGGATTCATAAACCCGATCTCCACTTGGTTGGGACTGAGGCGTTGTTCTTGTTGTATTTATGCATGCTAAAGCTAGAGATAGCCTCCTATGAACTGTGGCACTACAATGAGACAAAGCAAACTGGAGAGGGTGGTCCTTGATTTGGGCCATGAATGTAAAATTCCAAAGATATATGTGGATCTAGGAAATGAAAAAACGGGTTTGATTCAACTATTTGAGTTAAACAGCATCAGAAAAAGAAAACGATCTACATCTAAGAATGATGAACATGATTTTGAGAATGAACAAAATTGATACGCGAAAGCGGATATAAAAATAAACAGGAGTTGACTTCTTTCTTCCTTTTCTTGGTACCACGAAAAGATCAGAGCAATATTTACTTTTAGAGGAACAAGGACAAAAACCTCTGGCCCAGACACACCAGTTATAAAAAAAAAGACTAAAATCTTGGACTAGATTTTATCCAGTTAGCATAGATACTACAAAGGTTGAAGTGAGATTCAAAGTTTAGAATGTCCCCAACAAGGATAAAGGTGCATGAAAGCCATTTGATTTACATCACTAAATAGCATTGAAATTCTTACAAACAATAGCTGAAGAGGGATTTGTAAGGCCAGTCAAGTAAGGAGAAGACCAAATTGAGGTAAGTTAACTAGGCGAGCGTCCACTTTGTCTTTAGAGAGAGAATGAAACTGAATATATCCAAAGTAATGAGTCGAGATTACTAGAGAAAAATTCCCAACTTATTCGTTTTTATACATAATGATACAGAAGGAAAAGACTTTTTCCTACAATCGTAGTTAGATTAAGGTCGAAAGGGAAATTAAGAGCCCGTTTGGACATAAGAAATTTTTTCCTTTTTTTCAAAATAAATTCACTTTTTTCCCGGAATCAGCGCTTGTTCATAAAATTTCCAATTTTCACTTGAAGATACATTTTGGAAATTTTCAAAAATTTGAAAAACTCCAAAAACCTGTTTTTCAAAATTTTCACTCAAATCACTCACAAAACTTTAAAAACAACCAAAAATTATATTCGTGTCCAAACACAACTCAAATTTTCAAATACCATTTTCACTTGAAATTTTACAATTCTTATGTCCAAACGCCCACTAAAATTGATACGCAAAAAAACCTAAACTCTTTTCACAAGTATACAGGTGATTTAACTAAAGGTGCCATCTTTATTCTTAGCAAAAGGTATCAAAACAAGTAAAAAAAGATTCCAATATTCGAGACTAAAAATACCTATCAAAAATATATATATTCGAGGCTCAGTAAGAGGGCAAGCAGCACCCCATGTATTATTTCACTCCTTAGCTAAATTAGCTACTATAAGATTAAAATAACGAGATACCAGCCCCGAAATCCAAGTACAACCAACAAAAAAATAAGGAATTAAACACCATGTGTAATTCTTTTTTCAAAAGAAAAAACGTAGAGCACCAAGATCAACTATTTATTTCACATTAGAAGAATACCATTGAACCCCAAATCAATGGGAGAAGTCGCTTGTCTCCTTCGGCGTATTAGGATGGCCAGCTGTCAAATTCCTCACCAAACTGCAAAAGAAAAAACGAGAGGACTGTCTGGTAGACGAAGCAGGGATACTGTTTCTGGAGCACTTTATTTCTGTTCTTATACAAGTGTGCGTACTTTGTGAAGAGGTTAGTAGAAAATGACAAAAATGGTCCATTAAGTTCGGGTAAGTTTAAATTAGCCCCTTTAATATATTTTTGAGTAATTTTAGTCTTTTTAAATTCGTCAAAAGTGAATATTTTTCATCTTTTTCAAATATTTATCAAACTTTGGCGGTTAAATTTAATGAAAAATTATGAAGAAAAAAACTTTAATTAAAAATACTTTGAAACAGTCATCATGTCTTAGAATCTGCAAGCCAAACACCAGAACTAGACCAAAAATAACATAAATTACACCAGAACCAGATTTACATAAAGAGTTACAACAAAAAGTAAGTTCCCATTAAATCTTTTTATTTTTACAATTCCCGTTAAATCAAACAAACTCATTTGTTATATATTTGACGGTGACCGATATTGTTCACTTTCAATACAATTAAAGCACCAATTGCCCCAGTGTATATATAAAAGGTATTGTTTTAGACCTCCCTTCAAACATAAGGGATCAGTTTTATTATTTTCTCATGGGAATTGTGCTGTCTGCTTCTTTTTTAATTGTTATAACGCTCCCCTACCTACTTTTTCAAAATTGTAAAACTTCCCCACAATTCTCTAAATTCTTATATATTTCATCACAAAATTTGCCACTTAGTAAAAGAAAGCAGAAGTTTGACGTCTACTTAATTTTTAATTTTACCACAATCATGCTATCTACTTCTGCCTCCTAGTCCCCATTGCACACTTGGAACTTTTGCGTGCTTGTTGAAATAGGTTTACAACTCATTGTCAGTTAATGAATGTACACAACAACGTAACCCTACTTCTGCCTCTTAGTGAGCGTTTGGACATAAGAATTGTAAAATTCTAAAAAAAAAAGTGGAAAAAAATTTTAATTGAAAATGATATTTAAAAATTAGAGTTGTGTTTGGATATGAACATAATTTTGAGTTGTTTTTGAAGTTTTGTGAGTGATCTGAGTGAAAATTTTGAAAAACAACTTTTTGAAATTTTAAATTTTCGAAAAATTCCAAAATTCATTTTCAAGTGGAAATTGAAAATTTTAGGACCAAACACTAATTTCGAAAAAAGTTTAAAAAATTCTTATGTCCAAACGGGCTCTTAGTCCCCGTGGTTTATCCTAAGTCGACATGCTTACTGAGAAGAAGTAGCCGCTAAATCTGTCCAATGAAACCTTTGAAGTCTAGTTCGAGCTTCGACCTGCTTCTTAAAACTGATCAGAAACAGAGAACCTTGAATACACGCACAAGACAAGTTTGTTGAATTAAAGAAATTATTTGTTGCCAAAGAAAGAAGAAAAGATTGTTTCTTGTTATCCTTTATAATTAAAATACTAGTACTACTTATTGGTGCAAAACTTTCCAAGTTCCACAACCAACACAGACAATGTGAAAAGAAGTCCTGTGTCGCTACTACTCACCATCTTTTGAGATAGGTGTGTACATTGAAAAGAATCCAAAAGGATAAGAGACCATGGTTTGATTCTTGGTTGCAGCAAGGTCAGATAACTAATCAATGTGGGGCATGTTGTTTTTTTAACTTTCATTCAGCATACGGCAAAATGACTTAGGTGTACAGACAGCTTGTTGGATTTAGATGCAGAAGACCTGATATAATCCAGCCACAAACACGTAGCTCACCGAAACGCATTCTGATATCTTCAAAGAGCGCCAATTTATGAGGCATCACTTCTGTACTTTGTAGACACATCCAAAAGGAGGACCACCCGCTGCCACAAAGCACAAGGATGACAAAGAACTGATGAAGTTTAACATGGGATTCTACATCTTAAAGTACAGTCTCATGTGCATTCATAAAACATCAGCTGCCTCCACAGTCAGCACTAGTCAACTTTGTCCCCAGTTCTACCCTCGGCTTTGCTGAAAGGCCCCTTGCTAACATCTCTTCATCATACTTGCGTGCCATATCAACCATACCCTTTTGAACCAACACGTCAATTAATGCATTATAAGCAGACACATCTGGACTCAACCCCTGTTTTTCCATCTTTTCCCAAAGAATAAAGACTGGTCGAAGAAATCCCCATCTTCCAAATTTCCTCATAAGCATGACATAAGTGTCCATCCTAGGCCGCACTCCGCTTTCGATCATTCTATCAAACAACTTGAGAATCTCTCTGGGCTTTTCAAGGCATCCAAAAAAGCAGTTGTATGTAATGACATTAGGCTCGCAACCCTTGCTAGGCATTTGATTAAGCAATCTATATGCGTCTTTGTACCTCCCATTTTCACACATAAGCTTGATGAGCGTGTTATATGTAGAAACATTCGGTTTGCACCCCAACTCAATCATCTCTTGACAAAGCTTAGCTGCTACATCAACACCATCTGAAATCCCAATAGCACGGATGACAGTGTTGTATGCGATCACATCCAAGTCAATTCCCTTCTTCTTCATTTCTTTGTATAATTTTACAGTTTTCCATGGTTTTCCGCTCTTGCATTGTACATCCATGTAAATAGAGTATGAATATAGATCCTTTTGCACACCCCTTGAGTCCATCTCTTCCCAAAACTGTCTACACTTCCCCCACCAACTCATTTTGAACCACCCACGAAGAAGCATATTACATATTTTTGTGTCCACTTTAAAACAAGAATACATCACATCATTTTTGTTCTTAGGGAAGCACAACTCTTCGGCCTCTATCACATGCTTATACTCACATAGAGAATCAATTAGATTTGAAAATGAAATTTGATCTCTTAAATTAAATTCCTCCGCCTTATCAAATGTATCAATTGCTTCTTTAACCATGTGAGCAGACACATAACGTTTGAATAACACCCGGAAGGTGGTGTGGTCGGGCATGGAGGGCACATTACTCATTTTCTCAATCAAATTCCAAGCTGCATCAAATTCAAAAAACTTGCCCAGAATGTCAATAAGCTGGTTGCAAGTTTGGATGGTGTGTTGGAAGCCACACCGCGTCTCGGCCCAGTTGAAGAACTCTAAAGCACTTCTCCAGTCATTATTGTAACAAGAGAGCGTTTCCTGCACGATGGTGGGGTTTAGGGATTCAAAGGAAGCACTTGTTGAACTGGCGGGAAGATTGAGAGGTGGGGATGAATTTGGGTCATCATAGTTGGGAAAGGAAGTGGGATTTTGGGGTTTGGAGAGAGTGGAGTAATAACCGTGATGGAAAAGCAAGTTTTCGAATTGGGCGAGAAGCAAAGAAGAAGGTAAGAAAGTTGAATATCGAGAAATAACAGACGAAAGCATTCTAGAAGAGCAGGAACTGGTTTTCGAATATAATCTACAGTAACTGTGTGGTTCACAAGACTGCAGGAGTTAATGATTGTCCTGTAAAGTAAATTACAATGAAAAAAAATGCTACATTAGTTTAGCATCACCACAGAAAGGATTATCTAAAAACTAAATATTTTGAGTTTTTACAGTATTCTATAATGGAAGACTGTATATCGGCAAATATTTGTTTGCTCTTGACTTATTATTGGTGTTTCTTTACAAATACTTGTAATGGGCAGTGTAATGATGTAATCAAAATTTCATTGTTTACATGTTGTCTTTCTTTTATTTACGTAATTTAGTTATCGCCTTTTATTTTCTGCTATTATGTTATTAATATGTATGGCTATATATACTTTTCCTCATCATTTCCTGAAAGTTCTTCGAACATATTTGAATAAGACATTTGTTTTATGTAGTTTTACATTTTTCAACACATAAACAAGTACCTCAATTCCGAACTATAGTGTAATACACAATTTCCTAGAAAACAAAACTTTAACTGAATTCCATCTCAATCTCAACTCAATTCACATATCACAGATCATTCATAATCACATAAAAATCATCCCTTAACGCATTTCACATCCCTTTTGATGATTGCAAGTTATGATAATTTGATTTAAGGAAAAAAGGAAAACTTACCAATTTGCTGGAAAAATTGATGGACAACAACACAGAGTAATTGCAGCCACTAGACCCCAGCCAGTTAGAGTTAGGGGGCTTTTGACTCTTCTTTTGTTGCTGCAAGTTAAAAAATAAGCCTCAACACATTGACAATGTCAACCAAGAAAGAAAATGAAAATTTTCCCGATTCAATTTACCAAACCAACTTAAATTTCAAGTTAGTAATTCCCCAATTCATCGTCGCCCCCCGCCCCCCACCCATTCAAGTTGACAATCGGGTTTCTAGACAGCCAGTGGACTCTGAAACTAATACCAATGATTTCGCTGCATCTCCCAACAAAAGAAAAGAAATATATAAAACTATTGATCATGAATATATTGAAGAACTTAAAAGAAAATTAAAAAAAAAAAAAAGAAACAGTTTAGCATAGATAATTCCCTGTAAACTAATTTCCTAAGTTGGTAACTTTTATAATACCTGTTGTTTTAAAAAAAGTTAGAACTTTTAAAACCATAATGGAACTGCAATCACCTCTCTCTTATTTTAAGATTTCAACTCGGTTATCATAAGTTCTTAACCTAATATATTTGAAAAATTAAAGGAAAAAAAACATGTATGGATAATATTAATTGAAAGCCAATATTCTATAGGATATTTTTTCAAAACAGAAAATAAATTACTCAGCTTATGAATACCCTAATAACTTTAAGATGTGCAATTGAATTACATTGTTCTAAAATGTGAAATGGAGTCAGTTCATAAGCATTTAAACTATTTTCTTTTTTCAATTGTAACAGATTAACAGTATACATACATAGTTTTCAGGCTTAAATTGAGATAATTGAATGAATAGCTATATTGGAGATATATTGGTCAATGGCTCAAACTCTCAATCCCTTGCAAGATCATAGCATCCTGTTCACCAACTCAAAGCATGAAACTTTAATATTAAACATATGATTTTTGCATCAAGGTAATATTAATTAGCACATTTCCAGGATACAACGAGCTGCAGTGTCTCTTCAAAATACACATAGAACTAAATTAAGAACCAAAAAGACTGAGTTGGTAAATAGCTCAAATGGGTAAATCACAGAGAAAATGCTATGCAGGTTATATAAGATTGCAAAATCAAATAAAATGGAGTTATACCTTGCCTCAAGTCGGGATGCAACACTCGAAGGCAACGAAGCTGGAACAGTTCTGAATACGAAGAGAGAAATGGGAGGAAAATACTAGAGAGAATGAGCTAGGGTTTAGTCAAACATGAACTAAGAAGAATCAATCAGAATAAGAAAGAATAGAGAAAAGAGAACCCCAAAATTCTTTCTTGAACAGTTTCGAATAATTTGAAGATATGGATTGAACATTTGCCCTCAGGAAATAAGGAATATGTCAACGGGACCGCCATTTTCTTTCAGAAGTGGTCTGTACGGTTTAGGGCTATTTATTTGTAGGATTTAAATTTTTAAGACACTTTAAAATTTATATAAATTTTTAAGATAAAAGTGTTAAGAATGGGGTAGAACTGACACTTTAAAGCCCCCAAAGTTTTCTTATTTATAAAAACGTCCCCTTTCTCCTTCACTCCGATGGATGTTTCGGCCCCGTTTGGCCATATATTTTGGCACCATTTTTTCAAATCTTTTTTGAAAACATTGTTTGTTCATAAATTAATGATCTATTTTTGAAAAGTTTCTGAAATTATTTTTCAAGTTCCCAAAATCTAATTTAGGGTAGATTTTGGGTGAAACTTTTCTCCCACTCACAAAACTTCAAATTTTTTTCAAATAAAATGCATATCCAAACATAATTTCAACTTCCAAAAATTATTTTTCAAAACTACTTCAAAAATTATTATTTCAAGTTTCAACTAAATCTATGTCCAAACGCTAGCGAAACATCTCAAGGATGTTTGAAACATCTCCCGTGATGTTTGAAACATCCCCAAGTCATTTGAAATGTTTCAACTATCACGGGAGATGTTTGAAACGTCCCCGGGATGTTTGAAACATCCTGGGAGCGAGGATGTTTCAAACATCACGGGAGATGTTGGAGATGTTCAAAATTACCCACAACTTTTGTTATTTTTAATTCGACCCCCGAACTCCTTGTGTCCTATATTCTTCCACAAGACTTGAGAAGACTTTTTTACCTCTTTTTTCCTATTTATAAGTTGCAATTTGCAATTTTATAGCATGTTTAAGCTTCTAAAATCAATTTATTTTAAAAAATACTATTCTAAAAAAGTAGTAAGTAACACTTAGTATTTGATCAATCTTTAAAAAAATAATTTAAGTGTATTTTTCCCAAAAGTATTTTTAAAAAGAAGCTATTTTTTCTGATTCTCAAAAATTACTTATATTTCTACTCAAAAGCATTTCCACCTTAACATAAAAAAATATTTTTGGTCAAAAAACACTTGACCAAATAGGCTATTGAAATGCAACTTACTCAAATGCGATTTATTTTCATATTTATAAATCTATATTACATTAAAAGGAGGGCAGTATGCATTGTGGTTAAGCCAAGTGGCAAGCTAAAATGAAGCCACTTGATAATTTTAGGACAACATTAATAATTAAAAATTATAAATAGAAACATAATTGTTGGAAGTAGTTTAATGAATTTTATACATAATCTGAATAGATCTTAGACAAATCTAATCTCTCTCTCTCCCTCCCTCTCTCTCTCTCTCTCTCTCTCTCTCTCTCTCTCTCTCTCTCTCTCTCTCTCTCTCTCTCTCTCTCTCTCTCTCTCTCTCTCTCTCTATACATATATATATATATATATATATATGTGTGTGTGTGTGTGTGTGTGTGTGTGTGTATGTATTGATCCGCTCATAGATTTTCTTCCATATTAGCTAAAAATATGGAGGTAAAAAGTTATAATAGAAAAAAACAAAAAAATATAGAAATACGTAAATTGAGATAACCTATGACTATTTATACTTTGGAGTAATTTAAAATATAAAATAAAATTAAAATTTACTTAAAATATTAAAGATTTATTGAGTTTAAAAATTAAATAAATTCAAGCAGCAAAATAAGATCTTACATAAAGTATACAAATTATTTATAAGGTACGAAAAAAATTAAATAATCAGTAAAAAATATTTTAATAACAAGAATACTAAAGTTATATTAATATTGATAAATCGGGCAAATGAATATTTTATACTTAAATATTACTACAACATTTAGATATAATGTGTTCAAACAATTAAAAAAATATTTTCGTATAATTAATATTTGAATTGAGTGCAGTTAGTTTAAGTTTGAAAGCATAACATAATAAAATGCAATCCAATTTAGAAAAAAGAATGATAAAATTATTTGAATTTGAGATGAGAAAGTTATTTAATTTTTATATATATTATACGGAAAAGGGTCTGATATATCCTTGTACAATGGTAAATTATTTAAAATTGTCCCTCGTTATACTATTGGGCCATAAAAGTCCCTACCGTCCAACTATTCTAACAAATCTGCCCTTACTTTGACGGAAGTGCCACGTGGCATCCATCCTTGCCTCTTTTTAAATCTGGGCACATAAGAGACGACCCGCTCCAACTATACCTACCAACCCATAACCCATTTATAAACCAAATAATACCCCAAAGCCACTGACCAACGATTTATAACCCAAATTAAACCCCAACCCTAATTTATAATCCTACTGCCATCTCCATCAAACCTTCTATGCTATTAGCTCCATCAAGACAGCCCATTTCAACAAATTTCATCATAAATGTCGGAGTCTAGTGCTACGTCAAAGAGGAGGTGCCATTGTGGAGAGATTGCCAACCACTTTCGATCGACCACACCTCAAAATCCCGGAAGAAGATTCTATAAATGTGCAAAACCTGAAGTAAGTTTGTTAATTGTTTGTACAAAACTGAAATTTTTATTCCTTCTAACCTAATTATTTTTCATTTTCGTTAGAACGAGTCGTGTGGATATTGGGAATGGCAAGAGGAACCTTTTCCGGATCGAGCTTTGGTAGAAATCAATAAGTTGCAGTATAAATTGGATGCTGCTAATGTTACAATCAATATGTTGAAGCAATTATTGGAGTCGTGCACGATAGAAAGAGACAAGCTGTTGGAAAAAGTTAAAGATTTGGAGGTTTCAAAAAATGTTGAAGCAAACAAAGTAAGGGAAATCGAAGATAAAGTGGTTAAGATGAAGATGTTTATTTGGATTTCAGTTGCACTTATTGGTCGTTTTGTTGCGGCAATGTGGATGAAATAAATTGTGTTTGTTGAAGATGGCCTATAGTCCATATTTCACTTGTTAATGTATGTTCCTAAGTATTAGAGTTTTTTTTTTCCATTGTAAAACAATTACATCAATTGTTAATGTATGTTTTGATATTCCAAGTGCTAGTGTTTTTTCCAAGTGCTAGTGTTTTGATGTTCTATCTATTGACTTGTCAATTCTTTGAAATTAGTTTGAATTGTTTTATGGCATATGGTCCTTTTTAAGTACTAGAACTTAGTTTGAAAATATAGATCATCAAAAACATAAACTTTGGTGATGATCATATGGGATTAATCTATGCACCTGGAGCTTTGGATAAGAAACAAATAGTGTCACTTCTGGATTTAATATCATATATACAAGCTTAAGTGATGTAGGACAACAAGTCAACACTATTTTTCAAACACAAATGCTTACAACACAGTAGTTTTCTGGAACAGCAGCAAAAATAGCACCAAGAAACTGTATTACATCACCAAAAATACAGTAATTCTAGTAGTTACATCACTAAAACAGTACCCAAAAGTAGCACCTAATAATTCTGTAATTTCATCACTAAAACAACACCAAAAACAGTACCAAATAATTGTAATTACATCACCAAAGAAGACAGTAACTCCAATAGTTACATCACCAAAACAAGACCCAAAAACTGAAATTACAGAATACTAAAAGGGACACAACTGTCTATAAGTTTGCAGTGAATACATCCCACACAACAAAAAATTATACTTTTTTCTTCATTTTTTTCTCCTTGATTTCAGCTTCCCAATTCTTTCTTGCCCTTGTTTTTCCAACTGATTTGCAGTTACAGCAGCCTTCCCCTTCCATTGTAATGTTGGGGCTGAATATGGCAGATCTGTTGGTACACTAACACCACTATGATCACCTGTGAAGTTGATTGACCTTGTTCCAGCTGGTATTTGTACCTGTTGACTCATCCTTAGCCTTTGTAGTTACTTCTGATATAACCCTTGGCCCAAGCACAGCATCTTCTTCATGTCTAACCCTGACTTAAGCATTCTTCCAGGTGTAGGCATGAACCTAAGCCCACTGTCCTGACTTGGTTGAGTGGCCTGAGGTGCTGAACAGTTGATATCATTTTCAACTTGAGGTTCAGCTTCATGTTCTATCAAACAACTTGGCCTCTTCCTTTGCTGCCTTCCTTTTGATTTTTTTGCAGCAGGTGCTGAACTGGTGCTTGCCTGCTCAGTTGTGGCAGCAGGTGCTGAACTGGTGGAATCCTGCTCAGTTGTTGCAATAGCCTGCTCAGGTGTGGCAACAGCCTGCTCAACTCTTCCTCTCTTACTTTGCTTCTTTCCCTAGATTAAAATAGTTAAAAAAGACAAGTTAGAAATATTCATATCTAGTATGTAATACTTTGAAGTTAATGTAAAATATTTACCTGACCACAAGTCCTTGCATTATGAGTTGTTTCTCCACATTTGCTACAAGTCATGATTCTTCCTTTTCTTGACTGTGACCAAACTCATTGTCCTTTAATTGCCTCATCCTTCTGCCTATCTCTCTTAACCTTAGGTCTACCAACCAATTTCACAAGCTCTGGAGGCTCCATTGCTTGAGATGGTTCAATCTTCCAAAACTTTTCTCCCCTGACAGGCTGTATTTTGTGCCTATAAGTCAGCAGAAATGCCTCCTTGCTATACCACCAGTTGATTTCAGTCATTGGATCACCAGAGTCATGAAGTATAGCTCTAATAGCATGTGGACATGGGATTCCTGTAAGGTCCCATGACCTGCAAGTGCACTTCTTCACAACCAAATTAACACAATGCTTATCAGATCCTTCTGTTACTTCATAGCCATTTTTGACCATTTGCATTTTACTTCACAGGTCTCACAGTGACAGTTTGTGAAATCTGCAGGTACTCATTATACAAGTCCATGCATTTTGGACTGAAATCATATCTCCAGCTCCTAACTTCTTCTTCATGTTCTTAACAAGTTCATGGTCTTTGATTCTGTATGTCCTCTAGCATCTTGATTATAGGCTTATGCCTTGCATCCACAATCCACTTGTTGAATGATTCAGTCAAGTTATTATCAACCGACTGATTCTTGCATACAGTGTCCATATATGCTCTACACCAGGACTGGGGTGGGTACCTCAACAAAGCCTCTGCAGCATCTTTGTTCAAGTCACCT